TTTTTGAAAGATTGAACAGAAAACGAGTGGGCATGCTAGATGGCTTGAAGAAAACACAAGGTAAAAGTTATTGCAAAAATTTCTAAGTATGAAAAAGAAAGGAAAAAGTGCCAGATGAAAGACACTTACTTGAACAGAGCGCTGAAGCATCAACGCATAGTTTTCGTATTCGCTCAACTCGGTGCTTCGTTCCAGATCTCCTGGTAACAGCAGAGCAGTACTGAGCGTAACGCCGACATTAATATCCTCGGCACTATCATTTGCCATGACTGGCTTATCCTCCAAAGTAATTTCGGGGGCCCAGGGGGCAGCAGGCTTCTTAGACCCCGAGGTCATTGCGGAGGATGTAACGTCCTCAAAATAATAACATTAAACCCATCAGTATAGACATACATTGATATATAAAAACTCCACATTCTTCTATTCATTAGATTTCCATTACAGAAAAGTATTACATGTTAACGACAAAAGCAAATGCCCTAAGGGCTTACAGCTTTCCAAGTTAACACTTGGTTACGATAAAAGAGTACTAACACTCCACCGGTAGCCCAAGTAGTTATTTTTAAACAGATAATAAAAGCTCCAACAGATAAAATATCAATGTTTTCAAAAGTGGGCGATTAACAAATCCAACTCCACTATTCTACCATATAATGAGTCAACTTCATTATTTCCAACTCAATTCCAAATATCAACATTTTTCCCAAATTAATTATATCAATTAATTTACACAACGAATTAGGGCTTTCTCCCCAATTTTCCAACATTGACCCAATGGTCCATATATCAACAATCAACATCAATACCGCTATTTTGAAACTCAAAATACTCATTTTAGAATCAAAATAATAAAACCCTCTTTGACATTTTGAAACCCTAAGTCCCAAAATTTCTCAACTTCAACACTTAATCAAAATCACCAAAGATCTATGTTAAAGACCATAAAAGTGAGTAGGAATCCCTACCTCAATTTCGAAGCCCAAGAGGAGAAGATGTAGAAAACTAAAATGCTCCAAACTCCAAGATTCACGGATCAAAACGAAGCCTTCGACGATCAACACAACTTTTACAAAGGGCAAAGGGAAGAAAAGCACTCTAACTAGATCAAACCCTAGAGAGAAGGGAATTTCTAGAGAGAGAGACTCTCAAAATATCTTTTTAGAAAGTAGGAGAGAGAGAGGAAATGTAGAAAGTGATTCAAAAATGCCTACCTGCCCTCTGTTATACGACATTCCCGCTCGAGCGGAAAACACAACGCTCGAGCGTCAAGAACAAAAATCTGGACACGCTCGAGCGCCAAGACACAAGAGTAAAACACATCCGCTCGAGCGCGAAAACCAGTCCGCTCGAGCGTAGATTTCCCCCTCCTAGAACTTATACCCAGGAAGTACTACCCGCGCGAGCGCCAACAAACCTGCTCGAGCGCCACCGCTCGAGCGTAAACAAACCCGCTCAAGCGCAAAAATCACATCTGTAGAAGTTTTGCAGGAACCCGAAATACTGGAGGTGTGCAATACCCGCTCGAGCGCAAGAAGACCCGCTCGAGCGGATCGCCTAAAAACTGAACAACAAGGAATTGAAACCAAGGCCTAACCAACCTGTAACAACCCTGTTCAAAACATCCTAAAACTCAATCAAGTGGAATTAAAGGACGACAACAAGATAGATACCACTACCAACTTCGCGGAACCGAGTCCGGAATACAACAGAACAGTAAAGGGACAACTGGGATCGCTATAGAGGATGACTTCGGCTTTTTGGATTTTGGAGATTCTGATGGTTGGGCTTCAGAGCACCTCTTCCCAGCAGAGGGTTGAGGTTTGTCACTCTCAGCCAACTTTGAGATAGGCAAGGTATCTTCGGACTCAACTTGAGTTACCTTAGCTGTTGGTTGAGCCTTCTTTATTCTTTTCGGCTTTGGTAGAGGTTGGGTTTATGTTGGTTGATCATCAACGAATGACGAAATGCTGGCCAGAAGATCTTTTGCACCCGGTTTTTGGCGACCCATCTCGGCGTAAGAAACTGATCGGCGTCGAAGGCGGCGTTGGGATATTGGAATTAAGTATGGAGCCGAGGTTGACGGTTGATCAGCTGGATCGAAAATTGACCCTTGATCTGTCCGAGATGTGAACGCAGTCTGTGGAGCTGTGGCAGATGGTGGAGAAAGGCTTTTTTTCTTCCTCCTAAGGACGTCGGACAAAGCAGACCTGTATGTTGGAATAAAGTTGAGGAGCAGAGGCGCCTTTCGTTTGTGAATTGGCAAGTTCAGAAGTTTTTTTAAATCCTTGCTGGGATAAAAGGATTGGCGAAAGTTCTTTAGAGGTTGAGGAAGAATTGCAAAGATAGAACAACACAGACATTAAAACAGAATATTGAAAACTTTATGCAAGAAGAAAAGAAAACTTATAAAGGGTGGCCCTTACCAGCTCCTTCCCCAAGAATTGTTCGGCTTAAAGGATAAAGATAGAGGTCATCATTAGGCTGAAACTCCCAATTGCCTGAGACGATGAAGAAATCGTCTCCAGCTCCCTTGTTGGAGTCTGGGAGGTCGGCTACGATTTTATATTCAGTGGATCTCAGCTTGAGGTAGTAAACATAGTCCGTGTCTTTTCTAAGGCGACACATGGTATAACAGTACTGGAAATCGGCAAGCGTAATCCTAGCATTCTCTTGTTTGACTAAAGCTATGGTACCAGTAATAACTCGATAAGAATTGATGGCGAGTTGCATTGGGTTCAACTTATAGAAGTGAAGGATTTGACGAAAAAAAGGGTCAAGTGGAAATCGAAGTCCACACTCAATAAACGCAACTACAGGGAAGGGCATGGAGTGATTAGTAGGCATGATGGAGTCATCATCCCCAGCCAATCTCAGATTGACATCGGCTGGGATTTCAAACTCTTGCCTAAAAAAGTCTAGCTTAGAGGGGGTGTCTACCCGATGTTTCCACATATCCATGATATCGGGATAACTAAAGGTATTGGATTTCAGAAAAAAGATGTATCAAAAAAGGGTTATTGGAACCTCGGCAAAAACCTAGGTTTTAGCTGGTGCAGAAATTTGTAAGGGATGTTTCAGTTTTGCCCTAAAATGTGGGTTCTACAAACAAATCCCAAACCTAAAACTATGGAGATGAAGATCAAAGGCACAGATCTGGAAAAGACACAAAAAACAGAAAGCAAGAACGGAGTTTCAGAATCAAGAACAGAGATGGTCTATCAAGAGCATAAAGAATACAAGAAATATAGGGCCAAGTCAGTGGCAAAAATACAGAAAAGTGGTGAAACAGTGCGTGTGTTCAAGATATGGGCAAGGGCCAAACCATGGAATAAACGCATTCAGGTTCACAAATTGAACATTCGAATAAAGTAGTAACAACAACAAGTTCCAAAAAACAATCAAGAACTGAAATAAGAAAGAACAGTTGCTTACTAGAAAAAATAAAGCCGGTGTAAGGATCGCCGAAGTCAGACGATGGTTACAGAAGTAACAAGACGGCGGAAGCTTCACCGGGAGGAAGAATGAGGGCCGTTGCAGAGCTTGAGGTCTGGAACAATGGAAGAAATGAGAAAAGCTAGAGAGAGAAGAAGTTTTTCAGAAACGAGAATAAGGTGAAAGAGAAAAATCGAAGAGATGTGTTGTTAAAAATGAAAAACGGCGGCAAAAAGTAATCAATACGCCTAGAAGAACGTATGCGTCAGACGGCGCACGTGAGAGAGAGACGGCTTACAGACGCGTCACAAGTACGAACTAGTAAGAAAGAAACGCATGGCTAAAAACGATTGAATTATGGTCTATGACAGCTCATACGCGTGGAAGGGTTCTTGAAGTCCTTATTCTTCAACAAAGACATGTCAGCCAAAATAATGATCTCGGCTGAGATACTAAAAACTGACGTACTGAAAAAACGGAGTGATATAGGTTCCATCACCTCAGAATGCCGAAATAATAGAACCTAGAGGCAGTTGTGGGGATATATTTTCTGATACCAACACGTGGCCAAGGTGACGCCGACGTGTCAGCCGAGGTGCCACGTGTCCTGGTTGTTTTGCCGATGTCATCTCGGATAGGCTGAGGTTACCTCCGAAGATATCGGAATCCGAGATAAGCAGATAAGGGACAAGAGTCCTAGAATGGGAGAAGACTTCAGTTTGGGTAAAGATGAGACTCTTAGAGAGTTTATCCTAATTCAACTGGGAGTCCAATATTAACAGTAATCCTAAATCCATTAGAGTTAGGCTTCTATTGGAACTAGGATTATGTTGGCTATAAAAGAGAGGCACCTTCATGGGTCTAAGTATGTCTTTGATGCTTTTGATACTCAAGCTTGTGAGTTTAGCACTTGATTTATCTTTGAGAGATATACTGACTTAATTATCGGAGTGCCTCCGGATGGACGAACCACCGTCAGAATTTTCACTTTCTGTTGCAAGTCAGCTAGGTGCCATCTATTCTGCCGGTGCTCTCCAGTTGGTTACTAAGCGGGCAGTGTGGTAAAAAAATCACTCACACAATTATTATAAATAAATTATAAAATTACTTGTAAGAGAGTGTTTAAGATAATCTAAATAAGTATATTTTTTAATTTTTTATAAAAAAAAATGTGTAAAAAAATAAAAAATAAAAAATAATGTGATCTAAAAAAATTTAATAAATAGAAAAAAGAAAGTATATTTTTATAAAAGATATCAAATAGTGCCTAAGAATCAGTCTTATTTTCTTGTTAATGTCACGCAATAATTTAAGTTTGGTAATAAATTTTCATTAATTAGGGACAGTGTGGACCATTGTTCACCTAAGATTTTTTTCCAAACAAGGCCTTAAAAAAAAAGGACACCAGGCAGAGGAATAATCCGATTACGTGTACACCATCCGATTTGCAACGTGGATCGTGCAGAGGGCAATCCAACGGTTCACGTGAACCAAGTCAAGCGTCTTGGCGTCAGGATCCTCGAGAGTAGAAACGCTACAGTGACGGTGTCCTGTTCTGTGCACTCAATAATAAAGCGAATCTGGGTCTCCTTCTCAGAAATCGCAGCTGATTGAGAGAGAGAGAGAGAGAGAGAGATTGTGTAGGTGATCGATATAGAGAGAGAAAGCTGTAGAAGAAAGAGATGGAAGGAGACAGGAGAGTGGGTGTGGCTGTTGATTTCTCGGCATGTAGCAGAGAAGCACTGAAGTGGGCTGTGGATAACATTGTCCGCGACGGGGATCATCTTATCCTCGTCACCGTTCTCCCCGAAGGACACTACGAGGAGGGCGAGATGCAGCTTTGGGGAACCACCGGCTCCCGTACTCTCTCTCTCTCTCTCTCTCTATATATATATATATATATGTATGGGTTTGATTGAAGCTTTGAAAACTTAGCTTAGACTTTGAAACCCATTAATTGCTGGTGGGTTGATTTTAATTTGATGGAATCTATCCCTTGGCTGAACTCATTGTTTGGGGGTAGTGATAAGGGTAAAATGATCAAATATGTAATTTTTGTCTCAAATTGACTAAATTTTCAGAGTGGATCATTTGATTGGTGTTTGTGAAAATTAGATCGTGGTGGTGATGGTGTTTGGAATTAATTATTGTTCGTAATATACTACTACTTTGTAACTATTATGCTCTGTTTGGTTGATTGGAATAGAATGATCAGTAAATATGACTATTCCATTTGCAATGAATTTTTTTGTCAATCGAACTTGAGAATGGATAATTTGATGAAATGATCGTTCCACTCTAGTGAACCAAATACTATCTTAGGTAGGATTTATGTATGCGTAGCTTAGGGTTAATCATTTTCTTGGATTGCAATGATCATATCATCTTATGTGATTTGGTTGATAATGATCCAGTTTATAAATAGTGCAATCACATAACTCGCCATCAATCAATAGCATGATATTGTCACTTGGCGGTTGTGTTTGGTTCATGCATTTTGGAAGAGATTTAGAAAGAGAGATGAAAATGTTTGTGAAGTGTAGGTGAAATGTAGTAATATTTCATTCACATTTTTCTCACCTGTTCCCTTTCCATTTCTAAATCTCTATCTAAATTCATGAACCAAAGACAGCCTTAGTAATTGTCTGGGATTCTCAATCTCAATCTCCCCATTGGACTCCCAACACCGTGATGTGTTGGAATCTTGAAACATAAATTCTGAAGCTATGATCATGCAACTGGAAGTTTATTGCAACATGTGGGCGTAGGGATCTCTTGCAATTCCTACTTTTGTTTTGTGTTAGTTTAGCAATCAACAACCCAAGTTATTATCCGTGTATTTGGTTAAATTGGATTAAAACTTTCTGTTTTGAATCCCAGAACGGTTACTTGATTAATTTGTTTATGGGTTCCTAAATGATTGGGATTAAGGCTTGTTGAGTTGAGTATGTATGTTCTATGTATTTAATGGGTGATTTTCAATTTCTTTGTATTTGGTTCACCTTGGGCAGCTCTAATCCCTTTGAACGAGTTTTCTGAGCCCACCATCATGAAGAAATATGGTGTGAAGCCCGACCCTGAAACATTGGACATTGCCAATACTGCTGCTAGGCAGAAAGAGGTGCAATTTCCGTCCCTTTAAAGTTTAAACCATTGACTTTGAAATTTCTCAAGTTGTTTTTTGAAGTTCTACATCAAAATAAACTGAGTTTGTGTTGCATGTGTGAACAGATTATGGTGCTTATGAAGATCTACTGGGGAGATGCTCGGGATAAGATATGTGAAGCAATTGATAATATTCCTCTTAGCTGCCTTGTTATAGGGAACCGAGGGCTCGGCAAGCTCAAGAGGTAAATTATTTTGAAATTACTTTTTGATTATAACTGAAATCTACTCTTCTGCAATGTTGAACCATTTTGGTGTTTGGACTTCTTTTCTGGATCTTATATATTTTTGGCTGTGCCCTGAATTTTTTAATTGACATCATATTGACTCCGAGTCCATGTCATTGCCCGCTTATGTTTTGTTTGGATCATGAATTTGGGGAGGAATTTGTTGAGGGAATAGAAATGAGATGGGAAAGTGTATGAAGTAGTAGTTAAATTTACTTCACTTTTTACTTTCCATTTCTTCTCTCTTCATACACCTCTACTGTGATCCAAACACAGTATTAAAGTTTCTTCACGGATAAGCTCCCTGGGCGGAGCTTGAAAAGAAGAGCATTCATTGTCATGTTACTTTCGTTTTAAGGGCCTGTTTTCTCAAGGGAAACAATCTCCCTTGAAGCTGATACAATGTCATTCTTTGATAAGTTTCAAATGGAACGTAATTCAGACCATGCTTGTGCGCCATGTTATCTATTGAAATTGACTGGTTTTTGGTTTTGTTTGATTTCAAATTTTTAGGGCTATCATGGGCAGTGTTAGCAACTACGTGGTGAACAGTGCCTCTTGTCCTGTTACAGTCGTGAAGTCATGAAGAATGCAGATCATGAATGACTGCAATGCAGTATCCTGCTGGATTTCTAGTATGAACTTGTATCAATTGGTCATACCGATTGTAATTTATCTTCGAGTTTGAATTTAAGTTGCCGTGTGTGTGTAATGTATGTTGTGTAATCTAAAATCTTCGCCTGTGGCAGTGTTATGGACTTATAGTTTGCTGTAATCCAGTGGCCAAGAAGGAATAAATTTTGTTTTTGAACTCTTCTCAAATATCCAAGAAGCAATTTGAGTTCCATACGGTTGGTGTTTCAGGTGGCAATAACATGTGACTCTTCATTCCTGCAGCGCTCTATGTCTATTAGTTGTGTTATTGTAAATTGTTAACACTATTATATTCTCTGTTATCTGTGAGCAATGGCAGAGTTTGTAAGTCAATATGTATATTTTTATGATCGGAAATACAAATATATATGTAGTATTTTTTTTGTGTTTTTGACGGTGATATATATATAGAGTTTATTCTTAGCCTTTTACACCTTAATCTCGTTTGTGGTGAGGTTTGAACACCTAACCTTAAGGTTGAGGTAATGCAACTTGTAATCTCATGATATGTAATGGATTACTGTTGACACGTCAAATTGCAGCATAGTCTTGTATTGCTCTCTTCTATTGATGAGTAACTTTAGAAACATTGAAACCAGTATATTCATAATGTTATGTGAATAGATATGATTTTTTAAAATACGAGTCTCACGGACAAATTTTGTCGTGCAATGTCATCCCTTCACAAATATTTTATGTGTTACTTTTTATGTTTGTTGCAAAATTATTAACTTATATATAATTTGTAGTTTTTACGGCCAAAGTATCAATTTAATCTAGACCCATCACATATTCAAGTAACAAAAAGCTTCTATTATTAAGAACATTACGTAGCCATGTGTCCACTTAATAATTGACGGACAAGCAATTCCACTTAATAATAGACGGACAAGCAATTACTTTTGGACACACGACTACAATGAAATTCCAGACAAGCAATTACTTTTGGACACACGACTACAATGAAATTCCAGACGCACTTGTTAATTTTCCCTTTTTGGAGGAATGAGAGCCTTAGAACTTTTTAGGTAGTCCCAAGATTATGACTTACCAAAGTTTCCCTGAAATAAGGCCTATAGTTTCTCAAGGGCCATCCTGTTTTCATGGGTAACTAACGGCCTCTTTTGAGTAGTAACTAACTACCAACTCTCTCTCTCTCTCTTTCTGTCTCTCCCATTTCCTCATTTTCACCTTCTTTCTCATCCCATTTGCATTCTCTTCTATCTTCTCTCCAATGGACCCTCCTACTTCTCACGAACTACTCTTCTTTTCTCTCTTCTCTCTCCTAATCCTCAACTCGGCACAAGCCATATGTGTGCCGCGCAATTCAGCACCAACATGGGATTTGTCTCCATCTCCAAATTACCCGCAGCCTCCTGCGTCGACCCCAGCACCGGAGACAAGTCAGCCTTCAGTGTCAACCCCAGCATCGAAGGAGATCCAATCAGATTCAATTTCCTCCCAAGGCAACGATGCGTCAGTCCTTTCTGTCTCTAATCCTGCATCACAGTCAACCCTTCAAACCACTCCAACCCCGCCAACAAAATCAGCAATGTCTTTTTTGTCAAATATGGTAAAATCAGTTCCACTGCTAAACCAAAACAGTGATCCCGCGCTCAAGAAAATATGTGACTCCACTGACTATCCCGACGTTTGCCTCTCAGCAGTTGTGCCTAAATTGGGAGGCAAAAACGACCTACCATCTGTTATTGAAATGGCAATAAAGGCGGCTTCTGAATACACGAAAGTGGCTGTGGACACAGCTACAAAATTGGCTAGCAATCCCGGAATTCCTCCTAAAATGGCATCCATAATCAATGACATCAGGGATAGCTATAGCGACGCGTTGGACAATTACAATGAAGCGATGGAGGCACTCCAGAAGCACGATGTTGGCACGATGAATAGCATGCTTAGTGCTGCCATTACTGATTTCAGCGATTGCGATGATGATCTTGCAGGGCAGAGTTCACCATTGTTGGAATTTAATGGCAAGCTTAGAAAGATGACTAGCAATTGTCTTGCCATTGTTTCTTTGATTCAGCAGTGATTTGATTCGCTTGTGTTTGTGTCTTATAATAATTTAATTACCATCATGGTCTATACTATTTTTGTTCTGGTATTATGTTTTTTAATATTGAGAAACAGATCCATATAGGATGTTTTTTGGAGATGGTTCGTATAGGAATAAAAACGAAAGCTTGTACCACAGTATGATATGGAAGTTCTACAGCCTTTGTTGTACCACTTTTGGTCATAGGGCTTGTCATGCTGGAGTTACTCTTTTGGTGAAGATTAATAGAAACTTAATTTTATCGTTTGAAATGAGTTGAATGGTATATATTTAAAATTAGTTTGATGTGGGTATACCATCTAAAATAAAATGATTGTAATCCGTATGTATTTTTCTAAATTTTTAAAATATTTTTTTTCTAAGTTTATAGTATTGTTGTAATTTTATCTCATATGATTTGGAATTCCTATTCTAAAATGTCAATTCTTTTCCTCACATATGCTATGTTTGCTTGGATTTATCAAGTGAAAGGAAAATGTCTAATTTCAAAATTAAAACATATATGATTAATTTCAATTTTCTTATTTTTCAAAAAATAATTTTAAATTAAAAACATTACTTTCTCAACATACAAATACTGACAATTTGTAGTTTATTTTGTAAAGACTTTGAGTATATAATTTTAAAAAAATAGAATTATTTTGATATTTGTAAGTACATAATATAATTTTATTATATTTATCTTTAAAAAATATTCATGTTCATTTTTAACATTATATTTATATATGACTTGATTAAAAAAAAAATTTGCAAATTAAATCATTAAAAAAGATTTGGGTAGAACCACAAGACTCTACATCGAATTTGGGTTGGTGTTGTGCCTTGTGAGGCCCTATAAAAGTGTGTTCTGAATCCTTTTCGATAATTTGAATTGTTCATATTGTGTGATTTGTTGAGTATATTATTCATAAAACAATTCAAGTTAATCGAACATACATAACCCTATGATCAATCCTAATTATTTTTTAAAAAAATAATTATTAAAATTATATCAACTGTTTATTTTTGTTTAAAACAAATGTGGTCTTATTATAGGATTACAGATGTCTGATTAATTTAATTATTTTTTATGTATGATTCATTTAACGAATCTTATAATATAAATAATTCAAATTATAAAAATAAACTCAAGACAAGGCCCGACAAGCTTCCCAACAGACCCACCCCATTCCCTCAACATCACCTCCATTGCTCTCTGGTACAGAACTAAAAGAAGACTATATGAGGTCATGACCCATGTTTATGTGAAAAATATTGTTTGTCATAGTACTTTAAAAATACATATATCATTTTATATCTAACATGATCGTCTAGTATAAAAAATATATATCTCACTATTCTCTCATCTTCCATTCTCTTTCTATATTTGTTTATATGGTTAAAAAAAATTATTGTACTTTTAACCCTTCTAATAATAAAATCTTGGTATTGCCCTCACACAAGTAAAAATATTGGCGTGGAAAAAAAAATCCAAACAAAAACAAAAAAAATAGGATAAGGAAAATACTTATAGCCAAAAAATAAATAAATAAATAAAATTGAGAGATGGGTTTTTCAGACCTCAAACGCTGAAACCAGTCTTGCAGACGCTGCAATTGCAAAGCACAACAAGGCTCTCTCTCTCTCTCAAACGCATTTGCTCTTCATTGACAAGGCGAGGCTTATCTACTGATATTCTCAGCGTGTGTAACTCGAACTCACTTTGTTCTGTTGGATTTTGTTCATATTCGCACATGCGTTATTCATTTATACTGTTATTCCTATCTGGGTTGTTAAAATTATTGAATTTTTACCTTTTATTCATTTAGTTCCTCACTTTGTGACCCCATTTTGTATTTTTGGCTGATGGGTGTTGTTGAAATTTGATTATTTTAACTTACCTCCTTTTATTTGTTGGTTTGTCTTCTTCAGGGTCCTGCAATCTTTTATTTCTGCCTGGTTCTCTTGTTCTATTCATGTGGTCTTTAAACAAGTTCTTGAATTTGACCTTTTATTTACTTTCCTTTGTTTTTTCTTGGAAAAGAAAAATGTAGTTCCTGACTTTGTGACTCCTTTTATATTTTGACTGACGGGTTTTGTTGAAATTTTGATTATTTTAACTTATCTCCTTTGATTTGTTGGGTTGTCTACTTTAGGGTTCTGTATCTTTATTTGTATCTGTTTCTCTTGCTCTATTCAGGTGGTTTTTAGAGATGCCTCTGGGAAGTCCCCTAAATATTAGATTTTTGAACCACCTTGTGAAATTAACAACAAAAAGTATTTGATGATTGATAAGAAGGGTCATTTCAAGAAAATCTAAACAAGACTTTACAACATTGATTTCTGCCAATGACATCTCAGTTTCTCGATCCCAGTTTTATGGGATGTCAAAAAAGTAGGAAATTTTCAAACTCATCAAAGCACGAGTGTTTCATGCACTAGATTTGTGCAAGTCTTGTACCTCCTTGAATTTGAAATTTTTTTCCCAAATCCCGCTTTTTTTATATTCCCTCAATTTTTTACCATCAAATGATATATGAAACATGGTCAAGCCATCATATTCCATGAATGCCCACACACAATCTTAGGCCAAGTTTGGCATGATTGAAAAAAGACAAAAAGTCAAAAAGTTACTATCCTATTTAAGTCACGTCATCTTATTTAAGTCACATCGCCTCTCTAACACATCACTTCAAACCCAACCCAAACCCAACTCATATTTCATAAAAAGTAAAAAAGTGCACTTATTTAGTCTTTCCAAACTAGGCCTTAATCTTTCTCCTCCATGTTCCTTTTGGTTGCTAATCTTGGCTTTTGGACTTATTCATTATTTTGTGACTTATCTTTCTAATATCTTTTCAAGCACATAAATGGAGGACTACTCTATAATTTCAATAATTTTGCTTGGTTCCTTTACTTGTTTGTAGGTTTTTTTATTTTTGGCAATGAGATTCATACTGGTTTGGTTCTTCCTCGGGTTTTAGACTTGTGTATGGCATTTCTAGGTCTCATACGGTGTTGGGTTCTATTTTACTCCCCTCATATTCTTATCTTGTGTAGCAGTGATGCTGTTATCTCAGTGTTGTTAACTCTTTGGCACTCATGGAAGGATTTGGTGGTTCTTCTGTGTTCGCCGCTACTGGGTGCACGACAAGGAAGAAGAGGAGCAACACACCTCGAAGACCTCGTACTGATTCACATCCTATTCCAAATAGCTATAATATTTTGCCTAATGTTCAACACATTATATCTGCTTGTAAAAAAAATTGGAAGGACAATGGAGGCTTTGGAGATGTCAATGCATTTAACAGAAATGGTGAGTTGAAAAATGTGTCCAATTTCGGGAGGTGTAGTCTAGGCATTTTTTCCCATTCTAAAATCAAAATAATTAATTATTGTTTTTGATGGATTAGGAAGTGAGAACAAGTTGAAGACGGTAAAGCTCAAGCTTGGAGGTGTTACTCGTACAATTCACACCAACTCAACAGAGTTTCGTATTGATGCTCCTTGGCTTCCGAAGGTTCAGGTATCTCATGCTGATCTATGTTAGTCAATACAAATGCGAGTAGTTTCTGGTTCAATACTGATTATATATATAGCTGTCAAGCATTCAAATTTGATTTCAAGCGTTCCTCCTTTCCATATTGGTGTATTGTCGTCATTACTGCTACAGCAAGGTGGATTGCTGAGAGATTCCTTATACATAACTAGATTTGATTTGTAAACTTACATTGTAGATCGACTTCTATTTCGTTTCTCAGAAACTTTCCTTTTTGTTAACTAAGGAAGAAAACTTCATTAAAGAAAGTGCCAAACAGGGCACAACCTTGTATAGCATACAACGCAAACTAACAACTGCAACAAAGAATCCTAAAATCAATAGGGATATACAACTCCCCAAAAAACAGGAAAAACCTCTATTAATTTAAAAACAACAATGCTAGGATCACGGAATGGATCATAGAATGGTTCATTTCATAGAAAATGCAACAGAAGGCTAAGATTAGACCCAATTATGGAGGGGTCAACATTCAGAATAAATCTCAGCCTACCATTATATTTTCTATGACCCATTCTATGTTTTAATTTTGTGTTCTTAGCATTAGTATACAACGACGCTAAGGGCATGGATTGAGTTTTTTTCCCCTCAAACAATCTACAATTTATTCATCTCCAAATGCAACAAATAACACATAAAGGAGCAACAGCCGAAGCCTTTGTATTACCTATCCATGGACAATTTCTATGCTAATGTGCAGAAAAGATCCTTCCTGACGTCAGCATTACTCACACTACACGAAACACTGAAAACAGCAAGGCCCAAATTTGAGCAGCACAGGACAATGCAACAGCAAATGATACATCGAGTCCCCTGCACACTTACACATACAACACCTATCCATCAAAAACTTACCCCGTCTTCACAAATTATCAAAAGTGAGGATGGCACTGAGGTCCAACCAGTGTTACATGGACTCTTCTATTTATTTATTTTTTTACAATACCCGTGTCCTTCGGATATGACACGGGTAAGGGTGTGGGATATGTATCCAACACTCGTACCTAATTTAGACACTCGGATCTTTTAATTTGTTATGATAAATGAGAAGAAGAAACTTGCATTTGCTAGTAAAACAATATTTTTAGCCTCTCACGTGAATTAGATATAGAAATTTCATATTTTTTCGGAATCCTATTAAATTTCAAGTATATTTCTATATAATTTACAACATTTCATCTGAGAATATTATATAATATGCAATATATATGTGTATATGACGCGTCCTCGCACCCATATCCAATTTTGGATATATATTCCAAGATCCTAAGATTTAATTTATGAAGGTCTGACGCTTGGATACACACTCACACCAAATACTCATACCCAAGTCCATATAACATAGGATCCAACAATTTTAGATTTTTTTTTTTTATCCATTAAGATCCATCCCCCACATGCGCACACGAAAGTATAAAAAATAAAAAGAATGGCAAGCAAGGCACTGTAAATACTTTCTTCCCTCCATTAGTCATGATAGATGGTTTAGCTTGATACTTCTAATGTTATGATGTTAATTGTGCTTTATAATCTTATAAATGGCTTCATAAATACAGTGAAAATATTCTATATTAAAATGATTGCTGCAGGAAAACATAGATAACAATCGTTCGTGTCCTCTGGATATGAGGAAAAGCCTGCACAAAGTCCCACAAAAAGATTTCTCCAGAGGTGGTTCTGGTTTTGGGGATGAATATTCTACAAGAGGAAAGACTAACGAGGCATACAATTCTGAATTAGTTCGCAAGAGTAAGAGGGTTCCTAAAAGACGTGTCTTGGATGTGGGATTCAGTGATGATGATGAAGATGAGGAAATTCGGTATCTTGGGAGACTCAATGCTTCTAAGGTTGGTACAGTGTGTGAAGACAAGGAAGGTGAAAGTAGGAAAAGTCGGAGGATTGTGAATGTTTTGGAGTGTGGTAGAAGAGATAACGACACATATGTTGATGATATAGCAGTTTACCAGTCATCGAAATTGGGAAAATACAGTACAAAAAGGCTCAAATCAGAGAAAGCATATGAAGATGATGAGTACATGGAAGAGGAAGAACCAACATCAGACGATGAACCCAAAGTTGAAAGGAAAACATTGAGAAAGGAATCTGTTGATTTATTTAGAGAAGGTAAGAAGGAAATGATTCCAAGTTCAGGGACTGGCAAGACTCTGGTTGACCTCCCAACTGGTTCACTTCCTGCCCCATGTAAAAGTGAGCATTTCTCTCTTTCATATATATATATATATATGTACGTTTGGGAACCTAGGAAAGAAAAGAAAAAGAAACGAAACGATTACATAAGTTAGGAGAGAAGAAAATAAGAGAAAAGATTGTGTTTTCTATCCCTCTTGTTTGGATGAATAGGAGAGAAAATAAGAGAAAAGAGAATGATTCCTCTCCAATCTTGTTTGGTTAATCTACATAAAGAAAATAGAAGAAATTGGTTCATGTTATATTACCAAAATAACCTTTTATAGGTATCAAATTTGTTTTGTTTCTTTTATGTCTAAAGGGGCAGTTTTGGTATTATGAAAAAGTAATTCATTGGTTTCTTTTCTCTTCAATCTCTCCAATTTTGGAGAGATTCAAAATGCATTTTTTTTTTTTAGTTTCTTTTTAAATCTCCCAATCCAAACGAGCTGAACTTTTTATTCCATTGTTGGTTGGCTGCTGCTGACAGATCAAAAGGAGAAACTCTCTGAAGTTGAGCAGCAATTGAAGAAAGCCGAGGCTGCACAAAGACGCAGATTACAATCAGAAAAGGCAGCTAGGGAGGCTGAGGTTTCCTATCACATTTTTTTTTTTAATTTTTAAATTCTCTCCTCTAAATGATTAATAGTTGGGGAAACCTTCTGAGTTGGTATGTACTCTCCAGGCTGAGGCAATCAGAAAAATACTGGGCCAAGATTCTGCAAGAAAGAAGAGGGAAGAAAAGATGAGGAAGCAGCGCGATGAAGTGACTCAAGTATTTAAAAGAACCAATGAATATCCTGCATTGTACTTTATGTCCCGGTTTTAAGCATTGTTGTAAAGTGCTTTCAATTTTTGTTGGTGCAGGGGAAGATTGCCAGCAGCATGACACTCGCACGGAGCACTGTCAGATGGGTCATGGGTCCCACTGGAACAATTGTTACATTTTCTGAAGATATTGGACTACCAAGTATATTCAACTCAGTCCCTTGCAGGTTTGAATTAATATTTTTATATTGAACTGCCTTTTGCTTCTTGCATATGTCTATATGCTTGATGGTTTTAAGGGGTTTATGCTTTTGATTTTTCCAGTTATCCGCCACCACGAGAAAAATGTGTGGGTCCAAATTGTACCAATTCGTACAAGTATCGGGATTCTAAATCCAAGCTTCCGCTGTGCAGTCTCTTCTGTTACAGGGCAATACACTAAGAGGTGCAGCCTTTTAACTGCTGCTTGTTTCGCATAACATTGTCACTATATCTATTAAGTTGGCAATGATAGAACTAGCCCAATTTTTGTCTCGATTAGGGTTGGTTTAGCCAAGTCGGAATTTCATTATTCAATATGATTATGCTGGAACTGTTCATGTGGATCATGTCTAACTCCTGTCAAATTATCTTTGAAAACTAGTATGTTAATAGTACTTTGTCCTATCATTGTAATCCTAATATTCTTTGATTAACTGGTTGTAAGTGGGTAGCAATGTAGTGCCATTGCCATGTTCTGAATGTTAACATTGAGTGATAGGTTTACTAGTCCTACTTGTTTATTGTTCCCTTTGTTTCGATGGAAAACCTTTTTTTGTATTTTCTAACATTTGGTAGAATGGAAAACAAATAGAAAATGCTTCTGTGGTAAACAAAAAACGAACTTGTTTGGGTGAAAAATGTTTTCTGCTTTGTTTTTTGGATTAAAATCTTACCAATGCCGTCACATTACCACCTCCACCCCACTACCGCCGTGACCAGCACAACACTACATTGTGCCAAGTATAGTACTTTTTCATTTGAGCATAGGATGGAGTGGAGTACTTATGATCAGGGACAGAACAAGATCCGTTTTGCTACATTGTGCCAAGTATAATTCTCTCTCATTTGAGCATAGGGTGAAGTGGAGTACTTTTGATCAGGGTTAGAACAAGATTGGTTTTGCATTATATTTAACACTCCTTGGTTGACGAAGCAAGATTATTATCAAGGTGACTGCAATTTTTCGTATTTTGACAAAATATCTGCATGAAGAGATGCAAATCTTCCATGCCTAATTATGTATTGGGGAAAACTGTAAGTGAAACTGGACTTCCGAACATCCATGGAAAGGTACAAGGACTTGGATGTGGCAAGATTAACTGTGCTTCACACTGATCAGGGTCGTGTTCTGGATGGGGTTTCTAGATGCATTTCGATGTCATCCACACTCAAAGGGGAAGCCCATGCTATCTGGCTTGCTTGCTTTCTTGCTGATGTTCATAATCTACAGCCGGTCGAGATGAAAATGACAACAGAACTATGATCCTTCTCTCTGTTTCGGAGAAAGTCCCTCCATGGGAAGTGGGTGTTTTGCTGAGGGATATCAAAACCATGGCTTCTCGTCGCAATTTCTCTTTTCGATGGAGACCTCGTCACACAAAGAAAGTGGCACATTGGTTGGGCAAAGCTGCTTTAAGTGGAGATTTAGGTTCCTATTGGGTTAATACACCAGCACCTTTAGCTGCTTTCCTTTGATTCTTCCTCTTTGTAAGCCTTAGGGCGTTTTTACCAGTTCAAAAAAAATAAAAAAAGAAGGTACAAGGACTTGATTGGCATTTACATTGATCTTTTTTTTATCAGAAGGTCGGTCCTTCGTATTAATCTTCTTGTTTGTAATTTGATTTCCATCAATAATAGAAAATAAAATCATTTTTGGGTACTCCTCAGATGACATAGAGCAAATGCGTCTTAACTCATTCCTAAAAGCCGTAATGTCCCCAGTTTTGAATTTCCAATACTCTTGGATTTTTTTGCTTAATCATCCTACATTCTTTTTTCAAAAATAAAAATAAAAAATTGTGTAGCATCGTCGTATTTAAACAATATTGAAGATGCTGCTAAAACCCCCTCTTGCAAGCACGATCAATCATTTAATCAGATATCAGCAAATTGTTCTTCAATAAAATGAACTTCTCATATAATTAAAACTTCATTCTTTGCCCATTCTGTTCAATCCCTATACGAATCCTCATACAAGCCTAACAAATGCGAGCACGTTGCATATTTATATTATTGGTAGTAATGATATTAACACGAGCAAGACAAATTATGATATATTACAAATTCCTTGATAGAAAATTTAATATAGTATCCTCAAAATCTAAGCAGGGCATTAAAATCGGCATCAACGACCACCACATTTATGATCCATCCATGAAAACAGCACCATGTTCACTAGCTTTCATGAACTTCTTCAACAGAAGAACAACAATAGCAATGGTAAGTCCAACAGCAGCCCAAGTGAACAAGCGATCATCAGCCGGTTTCTGAACCCTCGGTCCCGACCTCTGCAGGAGCTGTTCACTTGTGGGTCCAGCACGAACCTGTCTAGATACCCCCATACCCTCAGGTCTGGGATTCCCGTTCAAAGAAGCTTCATGTGGTTCTTCAACAATCCTATCACCCACAGCTGGATTTGTAAGCCCTTCCCCGGGAGTTACTGCACCGGCGGCATCTTCAGAACTCTGGTTAGCTTCATCCTCTTTATCAGTAGAATGTTCTTCAGAAGCCTGTGAGGGATTAAGTTGAGGAACCAGGGGTGCCTTACTTAGCATATTTTCGTGGATCTGTGCGATGAGAATGGACTGTTAGGATGAAATATTACATGACAAAACATATAATTGAAGGACAATTCAGGCCTCAACAAACCTCATCGATTAGTTTTTGGCGTTCAGGAGTACCAAATCTTGGGGCAGCTTCACGAGATTTAATTGCCAGAACATGCCTTTCTTCTTTCTTGTAGTCTAACGAGCCCAATGCACCATTAGGACTGGTGGGCATGAATGCAATTAGAGCAACTAAAGCAGTCCGAACTGCAAACAGCAATATGCATCCACAATGAATAAAAGTTATAGCATGAAATATAACATTTATCTACAGGCATATGATATTAATAGATATTTCACTCTGATTCTCATGGTAGTATGCAAATTTATTAATTTTCAGCATACACCAAATCATTAACATTATTCCCTGCATCAATTATACCATGGGAATCCTTAGGCATGAGGAGATGAATACATCAGTCATAGCATGCAAAGCATTTGCAAACAAGCATGCATTACATACCTAATTGACTTAATTCTTAGTTTTCATACTCAGTCATGGTCGCAGAAAAAAAAAATGCAAAATTTCCAGTGTATGATCTTGGGAATTCAGCAGCCAAATAACTATATTAGCCTTTGTAGAAATTTAATGTATAAAGAGAAATGGTTGTATTATTGATTGATGTTTTGATATCTATTACAATGATTCATGATTCCTATATATAGACAACAATCCTATCACCCACAGCTGGATTTGTAAGCCCTTCCCCGGGAGTTACTGCACCGGCGGCATCTTCAGAACTCTGGTTAGCTTCATCCTCTTTATCAGTAGAATGTTCTTCAGAAGCCTGTGAGGGATTAAGTTGAGGAACCAGGGGTGCCTTACTTAGCATATATTCGTGGATCTGTGCGATGAGAATGGACTGTTAGGATGAAATATTACATGACAAAACATATAATTGAAGGACAATTCAGGCCTCAACAAACCTCATCGATTAGTTTTTGGCGTTCAGGAGTACCAAATCTTGGGGCAGCTTCACGAGATTTAATTGCCAGAACATGCCTTTCTTCTTTCTTGTAGTCTAACGAGCCCAATGCACCATTAGGACTGGTGGGCATGAATGCAATTAGAGCAACTAAAGCAGTCCGAACTGCAAACAGCAATATGCATCCACAATGAATAAAAGTTATAGCATGAAATATAACATTTATCTACAGGCATATGATATTAATAGATATTTCACTCTGATTCTCATGGTAGTATGCAAATTTATTAATTTCAGCATACACCAAATCATTAACATTATTCCCTGCATCAATTATACCATGGGAATCCTTAGGCATGAGGAGATGAATACATCAGTCATAGCATGCAAAGCATTTGCAAACAAGCATGCATTACATACCTAATTGACTTAATTCTTAGTTTTCATACTCAACTCTCAGTCATGGTCGTAGAAAAAAAAATATGCAAAATTTCCAGTGTATGATCTTGGGAATTCAGCCGCCAAATAACTATATTAGCCTTGGAATCTGATTTCTCCCTCATCTCATAATATATTCCAAACTTTCCAAGCATGTCATTTGCATCAATTTTCACATCAAATTGGGTATTTATTTGTGACAATAACAAATTACCATGCCTGAAAACTTGAAAGAGTATATTATTTCAATTTGAATTTTACAACCCACAACTGACCCCAAAATTAAAAAGCATAATGACTCGATGCAGGCCAAAGCTTTTCACAGCTAGACAGACAATCTCACCTCAGGAAAAAGTTTTAACAAACCCTAATGGAAATGCACAGTGATACAGAAGCACAAGCGTAAAATAAATGGATTTGCTAAATCTACTTGGCATAAGCACTTTCCATTCCTGTATCGATGAGATAACATGATTTAGCCAATATAGCAGCACTTCAATATAATTGAACCACAATTGCTAAATCTATTTTGGTTGATTAAAGGGCCACAACTAAGCTTCACAATCTGGTCTTTGAAACAACTATTTGCATACACATAGCTTGCGGCTACATGAAGAAATTATCCACAATGCGTCAAGAACAATGAATTTACCACTCCATGATGGCTGCCAGTGCTCAGGATGATGATTTGATATGCTTAGACATATCTTAGTTTGTGTTTCAAAACGGCCATTGGGCTGAAACAACAACAACAAAACTAGGTTAGCATATCATAAAAATGTAAGATACATTTATTATGAAGAATATCAAAATATGAGCTAACAGTTATAAAAAATTGTATAATACAAATATCTTAAAATGGCGACACATTACCGTCAACAGCATAAATGAAGGAGGCTTAAATGGGTACTCTGCTGGCAATTGGATTCGTCCATGATAAATGCCTCCCTCAAACTCAGAGTCACTGGGGCCCCTGATTGCAAATTGCCATTCGAATATATTCTCCTGTCAACACATTTTATAGGCTTACTGTTAATAGTACGGATAAGGAATAGTCCAATTGGAACATTTAAATAGAAAGTGCAAAATGTGAAAAAGAACCGTAAATTCCCCATATGAGACCAAAATAATGAAAGAAACATAGCCTTGAAAGATTGATGTCCAAACAGCGAAACAATCACCCAAGATCAAAACTTTTCAAATTCCACAGCTTTGTAATATTCTCATGCAACTAATAGATTGCCAAGATTAACTAACCCATTTAAAGCCCATCCCACAAACTTCTTTTCTTAGTTTTTTAACTCATTAAAACTGCATTCCCGAATTGATTTTATGACAATGCTAGGGGATATTCCCTCAATCATGCCAGACACAACAAAATCACACTGATGAGCGCACCATATCCAGAAATCTAGGGTCTTGTGCTCTTTAGCATCCATAACAACACAATATAAAAAGTTTTTTTAAAAAAGAGTTGGACAACGTATTATAAAAGGGTGCCAGTTCTGGATGATCATGTCACAATAAATACATAATTTGATTGACTTGCTATAGTAAGAATAATGCATTTTCCTATAAATTTTGAGGTCAAAAAAATTTAAGCACGAAATTAAGGTTGCAAAAGCTAAATCAAAAATTAGGTCAACTAACAAAATTGGAAAATACCAATCTCCAAAAACTCATATCCAAACATAAAGATATCAGATTCATACAAATTTTCTATCAGAGGTTCACAAAGAACAACTTTTTTATTTATTTTTTAAATGCATACATCAACATAGAATTAATCGAAATTGAATGATCACACAATGATGATTTCTACATCAAAATCCAACCCAATATTTGCATAATTTGATGACGATCAATCAAAAACAAACAAACAACAGTGAAATTAAAGGATGATAATGACAGATCTTCAATCAAAATCCCTCAAAACAAGCTCAATAAAATTCGAAAAACAAAAAAATTGAACCTCGAGAGGGAGGCTCATGAAATCATCGGAAGGGTTGGATTGCATCTCCTTGACCTCCTGGAGAATCCTCTTCACCGCAGGGTTCTTAAGATTGTACTTGTCTTCCGCCATTGTTGCTCACACAAGCCTCTTACGATAGATCCAACCGCGTCTGATCACCTCTCTCACCAATCACCCTCCTTTATATATATATACACAGAGAGAGAGAGAGAGAGAGAGAGAAAGAGAGAGAGAGAGTTAGATACAGATTTCGATCCGATTTGTGTTCAGATGTGCCGAGAAGAGGAGGATCTGCAAAGAGAGAGAGAGAGAGAGAGAGAGAGAGAGATATGACTTTTTGAAAGGGGACCAAAATTGGCTAAAATGATTTGACACGTCATTTATTAACAATTTTACCTATGTGTCACTGTTTGATTGGTTGGTTTATGATCGCGTTTGGTTTTATGTGAAATAAAAAAATGAGATCAATCCTAAATACATATTTCCATTTGTTTAAAATATAAATTACTCTGATAATTTAAAAAGTTATAAATATTTTTTTATTAAAATTTTTTATTTAATAAAATTAATTAAAAAAATAAAATTCATAATTGCTCTCCTATATAATAATAAAATTATTCAAATTATTAATTGAAACATATTTTTAACATCATTAAAATTTGTTAATTGACTTGATAATTTATTAATAAAGTGAAAGATTTATTATAAAATTAAAAACCTTAGTGAGTAAAATGTAATTTTTAAAATTACAAAAAATAATTTATATTTTAATCAAATCTCAAACTGTATTTATAATTTATCCTAAAAAAATTGGAGGAAGATAATATTAAAAGGAAGAAGCCTCAGCCCCCCTTGATCCCAAAGCCCCAGTGGGTGTGATTGGTCTTTTTGTTTATTTTTTTTTGATCCAATAATCATCCCCCGTGTGCGTGTGTGTGGGGGTGCTCGGAGACTAGGGATCTCCAGCACATTTGATATTAAAACATTTATAATTATTTTAATATATTTTAACATTAACAATACTGCTATTTATCATTTTTTTATAATTGCAAAAGAACAGAAATAACTTGTAAAATAATTAATTTATCATTTTCTTTTGATTTCTCTTTTCTCTTTCTTCTCCTCTATGCCTCTGTTTGGGAAGATGGGTTAGGTTGGATTGAGTTGGGTTTGGAGCTATTTTAGTCATAAAAAGACAAAATAAATTTTTTAATCTAATAAGAAAGATTATCACATTCAATCCATAATCATTACATTCTTTCTCTCACAAAAAGTCAAAAAATCAAAAAAAATTATTTTCCAAACGAGACTTTTTAGCTTCAGGCTAAAAAAATCAAAAAATCAACCCACTTTCCAAACGAACCCTATATTTTTTTCGTATTATGTTAAGAACTCTAAATAATTTATTAAATTTTTTATATGAATGTGAGATTTATATAAATACATGTGTATGAACCTTATATTTATATAAGTAGTTTGATAAAAAAAAAATAATAAATTATTTAGAATACTTGGTAACGTTTACGTTTTCAGTTTATATTTACACAAATTTTATAAACTGGTTTTTGTTTATTTTTATTTATTTTTAAAAAAACATAAACTACAAACGTGTTTGGTAATTGACAAAATGTTTAAAAAATTTTAAAAATATAAAAAAGAGTGAGAAATGGTAAGTGGCGGCGGAAAACGGTGGTGGAAAGTGGTGACGGTGGGTGGTGGGTAGCTGGTGGTAGCGGGTGGCGGGTGGTGGTGGTGGATGAGCGGGTGACGGTGGCGAGTGGTGGGTGGTAGCGAGTGGGTGGTGGTGGTGGTGGGTTTTTTTTTTTTTTTTTTTTTTTTTTTTTTTTTTTTTTTTTTTTTTGTTTTTTTTTTTTTTTTTTTTTTTTTTTTTTTTTTTTTTTTTTTTTTTTTTTGTTTTTTTTTTTTTTTTTTTTTTTTTTTTTTTTTTTTTTTTTTTTTTTTTTTTTTTTTTTTTTTTTTTTTTTTTTTTTATAATCTTACACTTCCCATAATGGACAAAATAATGAAAGAAACATAGCCTTGAAAGATTGATGTCCAAACAGCGAAACAATCACCCAAGATCAAACTTTTCAAATTCCACAGCTTTGTAATATTCTCATGCAACTAATAGATTGCCAAGATTAACTACCCATTTAAAGCCCATCCCACAAACTTCTTTTCTAGTTTTTTAACTCAATTAAAACTGCATTCCGCGAATTGATTTTATGACAATGCTAGGGGATATTCCCTCAATCATGCCAGACACAACAAAATCACACTGATGAGCGCACCATATCCAGAAATCTAGGGTCTTGTGCTCTTTAGCATCATAACAACACAATATAACAAAAGTTTTTTTAAAAAAAGTAGTTGGACAACGTATTATAAAAGGGTGCCAGTTTCTGGATGATCATGTCACAATAAATACATAATTTGATTGACTTGCCTATAGTTAAGAATAATGCATTTTCCTATAAATTTTGAGGTCAAAAAAATTTAAGCACGAAATTAAGGTTGCAAAAGCTAAATCAAAAATTAGGTCAACTAACAAAATTGGAAAATACCAATCTCCAAAAACTCATATCCAAACATAAAGAAATATCAGATTCATACAAATTTTCATATCAGAGGTTCACAAAGAACAACTTTTTTTATTTATTTTTTAAATGCATACATCAACATAGAATTAATCGAAATTGAATGATCACACAATGATGATTTCTACAGCAAAATCCAACCCAATATTTGCATAATTTGATGACGATCAATCAAAAACAAACAAACAACACGTGAAATTAAAGGATGATATGACAGATCTTCAATCAAAATCCCTCAAAACAAGCTCAATAAAATTCGAAAAACAAAAAAATTGAACTCGAGAGGGAGGCTCATGAATCATCGGAAGGGTTGAATTGCATCTCCTTGACCTCCTGGAGAATCCTCTTCACCGCAGGGTTCTTAAGTTGTCTTGTTTCCGCCATTGGTTGCTCACCAAGCCTCTTACGATAGATCACCGGCCGTCTGATCACCTCTCCTCACCATCACCCTCCTTTATAATATATATACACAGAGAGAGAGAGAAGGAGAGAGAGAAAGAGAGCAGAGAGAGTTAGATACAGATTTCGATCCGATTTGTGTTCAGATGTGCCGAGAAGAGGAGGATCTGCAAAGAGAGAGAGAGAGAGAGAGAGAGAGGAGAGATATGACTTTTTGAAAGGGGACACCAAAATTGGCTAAAATGATTTGACACGTCATTTATTAACAATTTTACCTATGTGTCACTGTTTGATTGGTTGGTTTATGATCGCGTTTGGTTTTATGTGAAATAAAAAAATGAGATCAATCCTAAATACATATTTCCATTTGTTTAAAATATAAATTACTCTGATAATTTAAAAGTTATAAATATTTTTTATTAAAATTTTTTATTTAATAAAATTAAATTAAAAAAATAAAATTCATAATTGCTCTCCTATATAATAATAAAATTACTCAAATTATTAATTGAAACATATTTTTAACATCATTAAATTTGTTAATTGACTTGATAATTTATTAATAAAATGAAAGATTTATTATGAAATTAAAAACCTTAGTGAGTAAATGTATTTTTAAATTATAAAAAATAATTTATATTTTAATGAAATCTCATACTGTTTTTATAATTTATCCTTAAAAAAAATGCGGAGGAAGATAATATTAAAAGGAAGAAGCCTCAGCCCCCTTGATCCCAAAGCCCCAGTGGGTGTGTTTGTCTTTTTGTTTATTTTTTTTGATCCAATAATCATTCCCGTGTGCGTGTGTGTGGGGTGCTCGGAGACTAGGATCTCCAGCACATTTGATATTAAAACATTTATAATTATTTAATATATTTTAACATTAACAATACTGCTATTTATCATTTTTTTATAATTGCAAAAGAACAGAAATAACTTGTAAAATAATTAATTTATCATTTTCTTTTGATTTCTCTTTTCTCTTTCTTCTCCTCTATGCCTCTGTTTGGGAAGATGGGTTAGGTTGGATTGAGTTGGGTTTGGAGCTATTTTAGTCATAAAAAACAAAATAAATTTTTTAATCTAATAAGAAAGATTATCACATTTCAATCCATAATATTACATTCTTTCTCTCACAAAAAGTCAAAAAAATCAAAAAAAATTATTTTCCAAACGAGACTTTTTTAGCTTCAGGCTAAAAAAATCAAAAAATCAACCCACTTTCCCAAACGAACCCTATATTTTTTTCGTATTATGTTTAAGAACTCTAAATAATTTATTAAATTTTTTATAATGAATGTGAGATTTATATAAATACATGTGTATGAACCTTATATTTATATAAGTAGTTTGATAAAAAAAAAAATTAATAAATTATTTTAGAATACTTGGTAACGTTTACGTTTTCAGTTTATATTTACACAAATTTTATAAACTGGTTTTTGTTTATTTTTTATTTATTTTAAAAAACATAAACTACAAATGTGTTTGGTAATTGACAAAATGTTTAAAAAATTTAAAAAATATAAAAAAGAGTGAGAAAATGGCAAGTGGCCAGCGAAAAACGGTGGTGGAAAGTGGTGACGGTGGGTGGTGGGTAGCTGGTGGTGGTGGGTGGTGCGGGTGGGTGGTGGTGGTGGATGGGTGGGTGACGGTGGCTGGTGGTGGGTGGTAGTGAGTTGAAGGTGGTTGGTGGCAGATGGCGGGTGGTGGTGGCAGATGGGCGGGTGGTGGTGGTGGCGAGTAGGTGACGGGTAGTGGGTGATGAGTGGCTGATGGCGGGTGGTGGTGGGTGGCGGGTGGTGGTGGTGGTGGTGGGTGGGTGACGGTGGCGGGTGTGGGTGGTAACGGTGGTAGTGGTAGTGGTGGTGCGGGTGGGTGGTGATGGTGGTGGGTGTGTGGGTGATAGTGACGGGTGATGGGTGGTAAAAAGTGGGTGGTGGTGGTGGTGGCGGCGGTGGCGGCGACTGGTGGTAGCAAGTGAGTGGCGGATGGCGGGTGGTGCAGGTGGTGGTGGTGGTGGTGGTGGGGTGGTGGGTGGTGAGTGGGTGGTAGGTGGTAGCAAGTGGGTGGTGGTGGTGGTAGCAGGCGGTGGCAGGTGGGTGGCGGGTGGTGGTGGTGGTGGTGGTGGTGGGTGACGGTAGCGGGTGGTAAGTAGTAGCGAGTGGGTGGTGGTGGTAGGTGGTGGCAGGTGGGTGGCTGGTGGGTGTGGTGGCGGGTGGGTGACAAGTGGCTAGTGGTGTGGGTGGCTGGTGGTGGCAGGTGGTGAATGGTGGTGGCAAGTGGGTGGTGAGTGCTGGTGGCAAGTAA